ATCTTCAATTCCTACTAAGTCAAAATATGTATCGTAATTGTGGTGTCACCACAATTCAAGAATCCTGGTTAAATGATCTACAGGACGACTGCCTAGTTTCACTACGTGATTTCAAAATTTATCGTCAGGATCGATCAAGCAATTAAAGAGGTGTGGCGGAGGTGTAGCTACGTTTGTAAACGTGAACTGGTGTCGATCTTCGTCTACGTGTTTCAAGTTTTAAAATGACTTTATCGACTGTCTAACTCTAAGATGTCGTCCAAAACATCTGAATGAATACAAACATGTTTATGTTACCAATGTCTACGTGACTCCAGACTGCATATCATCTGCGCTGTCTGTTTTCGCTGATGGATTCACTGAGTTCGCTGTTACTGCTTTCAGTGATTCACTTTCAGTTGTATGTGGTGATTTCAATTCATGTGAATGTAGCTTCCTTACGTCACTAGGTCACCAGAATGTAGTAGATTTTCCTACTCGTTTGGATGCTCATTTAGACTTTGTTTTCATTAATGATGTGGGTATATATGTGACTCGTAAACGTGCTCAATTGTCTAGCTCGGATCACTGTATAATTCGTGTTCTACCTAAAGTATATGGAAAGCATGGAAGGAGTACACTCTTGCATCAAACCAGGAAAGTCAAATATAGGAATTAACCAGAAGAAAATATCCGGAATCGGAAAAATATGTTTCATACGACTAACTGGAAATTACTTACAGATGACTTACTGAAAATCACTACTGATGTTATCACTTGTTACCTTAAATTCTGTTTTGATACTTTTTGCCCCACTGAAACCATTTTTGTAAGTTTTGATCGACTTACATCTTGACAACTAAAACGACTACGGAGGATGAAAGAAAAAATGTACAGGGGGAAAAACTCTAATGAAGTTCGTAAGCTAAATGGTCTGATAAACCTAGAGATTAGACGTCTCAACTCTATGTTTATTCAAAAACTCTTGTCTTGCAAAAGCTCTCCAAGTATGTGAAAACTCTTTAAAGAACTTACAATTGACAGATAGATTAGGAGCGATAACCAGCCGAATGTTTGTGACTTAAATAAGTTTTTTGTACGTCAGTCATCTGATGCGATGCTCCCTTCATCCACAGGTTTAAAGAATAGCTGTGTTCCTAGTTTCACTGAAACTGATGTCCGAAGATATCTCCAATCACTTAATTCATCCCAATGTTTAGGACCTGATGGTATCCCAAACCTTTTTAAAAAATCTGCTGACGTCCTATGTTATCCATTCACCACTATGTTTAACAGATCCTTCTCATCTAATCTCACAGCAAAAATGTGAAGAAAGATGAAGATAATTCCTGTATCCAAGAAATCATCTGGTGATAAGAATGTAAAATTTAGACCTATTGCAATAACTTCACCCTTCCTCAAAACAATGGAAAGATTATTAATACTTACATTTCCGTCTGTGATATAAGAGGATATTGATCCATATCAGTTTGCTTACAGATGCAAAAGAAGCACCTTAGATGCTGTTGCTGTTCTGCATCACAATATAGTGTTCAACTTAGGAAAGGGTAAGAAGTATGTTCGATGTGCTTTTCTGGACTATACTTCAGCTTTTGATTCTATACCAAGACAACGTTTAATTAGCAAGTTAATCAGCATCAACACTGACAGCTGGATAACCAACTGGCTATGTTCCTACCTCTCTGGAAGAGAGCAGTACACTGTATTTAGAGGAATGTGTTCAGAGTCTCTACTGTCTCATGAAGGTGTACCACAAGGAGCTGTTCTTTCACCTTTTTTTTCTCTTTTCTTCTGCATGATCTGTCATCTTCCACAGAAAACACTTGTGAAATATGCGGATGATCTCACTGTATGTATGCCTATCTCTTCCTCTTTACATCCCATAGGAATGAATGAGCTTGTCTCGTATTGATTGTTGGTCTGTTGGTAATGGTCTTATACTTGATCCGTCTAAATGTCAAGCTGTTAACTTTAGCATGAGACATGAACGGCATCTAAACACCATTTTGAGATCCCATAATGCTTGTGCCATCGGAGACTCTTTGATAAACACAATGTCGAAGGCCAATTATCTTGGTGTTACCTTTCCCTCTGATCTCTCTTGGTCTTCCCACGTTTTATTGTTATCGAAGGAGGTTTTCTGTCTGACTCACTACATAAAGAGATTGCATGCTCTTGGGATTACTCGTCATTCACTTTTACAATTCGTCAGTTCTTACATACTACCTATTATTCTTTACTGTTCTCCATTATTCTTTCCCGGGCTTTTGAGAAAAGACTTTGCTGTATTGCGAAGAGTGCTGAAGGCAGTTAGCAAGATGTGTGGTGGATCTTTCGAGGTCATAATTAATATGGTTGAGGATAGACATCTAAAGTCATGCAAACTCCTGGCAGGTGTTATTTTATCAGATACTAACTTTCCACTTCACTCTTGTCTTTCTCCTTGTATATCTTCTGGTAGAACGAGACGTAATTACATTAAAATCCATGCACTCAAGCAAAAGTATAAAAGTTCTATAATACCTTACCTAGCAAATATACTCCGGATGTTTTTCTTTTAATTTTATTTTTCTGCTGCCTGATAGTCCTTCTGAGTTCCAAAAGTTTTTTAATAGTTAGAATACAGCCCTCGTTTCTCCTTTTTATGCTTTTCAATGGTGCTACTCAGGTATTTATAGCTTTCCATCTCTTCAAGAACTTCTCCATATTGTGTGATTTTGTTGTTACTTGTTGTGTTGCACTTCAAATCTCGTTTTTTAACATAGGAACGTTAAGGCATACTGACTCATGAGCCACTGTTACTCAGATTATCCCCATCTTAATTTGTTGTTACGTATGGAATATCAGGGCTTAGTCGTATGCTAAGTCATAGTTACACTGTTGCATCTTTATTGCCCTCTGCTAATCGTTCTTCCTCTGGTATGTGGTTGTTTTCACAATTCAGTCGACCACTAGAAGAAAAAGAAGAGGTGAGAGTAAACAGCATTGTTCGACACTAGTCTTCACTTAGAATACATCTATCAGCTGTCCTCCATTCACAAGTTTGCAATGTAGTCCGTCGTATGAATTTCGCATGACGACAATCGTCCCAGGTACACCACAGTGTCGAAGGAAGTTGCACAGAGTTTTCCTATACACGCTGTCGAATGCTTTTACATCGTGAAGGAGGTTGATGTGTAATGACGAGTTCCATTCAATGGATTTTTTGATGAGGATCCGTAGCGTAGCAATTTGGTTGGCACACAATTGATCTTTACGGAATCCAGCCTAGTGATCACTAAGTTGGGTGTCTACTAGAGATTTGTTCAGTTCAACGGCACAGTTGAAAACTGTTCCAGTTACTGTTAGCAGTATTTCTTCTAGTTTCCGAGATCTATATATATATATATATTTTTAGAGTGTTCTCTCTTCTAGCTGGTTGGTAGTTTTTGCTTCTCTTAAATATTTGCAAAGAGAACGTAGAGCATTTTTATGAGGCACTATCACTGGAAGGGCCTTCAAATGCTGATCCAGTGCCTGATGAATCCAGTGGTTCTGGCCAGTTGAAGCGCTCTTCAGAATTCTCTAATAATCTGTTTCGATGCCACTGTCCCTCATTTGCTTGCTTCTGTATTTACAGTCTAACCCTCGTTTTCCTTTACAGTTGTTCAGCTGTCAGAGACGTTTGTAGTCTGGTTTTCACTTCCTTGAATCTTGTACAGATTGTCTACAGAGATTCACCCTTTATTCTAGTGTTTCTTGGGTCCAAGAGCCCTCTGGCCTGTTGACGTTTCAGTTCTTTGTGTCGCGGTTGACTATGATCACCACTACAGGAAGACTACGTGCCAGTTAACCGATAAGATCCCTTGTAGGCCAAATATCAAAAGGCAGTTGATGGCTATAGTCGGGATTCATTTGTTGGCGATCTTGTGGTATAGAAAGAATACCGAGATAGTGCCAAAGGAGTACATGTGTGGTTGCTGAGCGTAACCAAATTCATGCAGTCACAATCAATGGAAGGAAGAATGTATGTGTTTTGGTACAGTCAAACAAACAAGTATGGTAAAACAATCCGTGGTACAACTGGTTATAATAATAATTGTTTCCATTAAACCAATCGCATAAAAGTAAGCCACTACAGTAGTCAGACGGAACCCGTGTAGCTTTGTGTGTGTGTTTTTAGGTGAAAAACAGTATCATCTATAACCATGCTCGTGAAATCACACAAATCCGTCAGCCTCTCGATATTTTAGTTTCTTTGTCCTAGTCCATGCGCCCCCATGACGCGTTGATATTCGACGTTGTTCATCCCTACTTCAGTATCCAGGCCCTCTCCACTAAAATGAACAGGTTTTTTATCGGGTAATTCCCTACTATGGCTCTCAGTCTCTAAAAACTAGTCTTCATCATTCACGAAAGCTGAATGCGTAACCAGAAATGGCCTCATTGTTTAGTTTATGATCAAATATGTGTAGTATATAACTCTGGAGAGAACCGACCAAGCTAAGAATGACAGCAACCAACTAAAGTAAGCAAAACCACGAATGTGAGATTGAGACAACTTAATAATTTCAGTAAAAAGTTAGCTAAGTAAAAGTTGAATTCGTTACGTTCCATAACTTTTGTAAAAAGCGCGTAAACCCAGCTGTTTCGAACGATACCTTAAACCCTGAAATAGTTAGGTACTCCAGATGTGTATTTTTATCATAAGGTTATCATAACTTTTGACAACTATTATGTTAGCTATAAGACCGAATGTCTCAGATTTGTTTGAGCTATTCGATCAGCAACGCTCCCTGTTGTTTCGTGCTGTTTGACCCTGTGTTTTGGATTAAAGCTTTGGTTTTTGCAAGTATTAACTACACTGTGCTCGAGAGGGCATAATCTCATCAATTTTTAAAATGAGGACTACCTCAGTCCATTACTGAGTTCTTCATGCTGGACATCATTTCTTTCAACAGCGTTGGTTGTTTCCATGTTCCTGTCATGGGGCCCTCAACTTTCGCTGGTTGTCAATAGTAATGGTGAGATTTTGTCTTTTGATGTTAGGTATGCAGTAGGGTGGTCGTAAAATTGATGACAAACTGTACTATTTTCGTAACGAAATCCAAACATGACCTCGATCTCCGGTGGTTCTAGTAACGAATATCGTAAAAATCTGTAAAGCTGGTAAAACTTTTGGATATTGGATCGGTTTTCTAGAAGGGAAGAAAAGTCGTTTTCTACAGTATTACACATACTGTTTCCCAACTATTTTGTATCACTGAACTCTATCACCGCCAGTTGTAAGCGTTTAAGAATAAAGCGTAGTGTACTACGTAACAGCGAATTAGACTGTTAGGGTCCTTTGCATAATGAATAAAGCTGTTGATCTTACCTGTGAAGACTAACAGCTTTTAGGACTATATGAGAACTTCCGTCTTAATTTGATCGAAAAGTTTCGCTATATTTGGGCGCCGAGTTGATATGAGACATTAATGGTAATTTTGATGTTTGATTATAATTCCTTGATGATGTTTGAACTAGGTTGACAGGCGAAGTGTTGAACTTACTTCAAATTCACTCACTGAAACTTTAAAAATACATTCTTCTCCATTAAAGCTTTAGAACTCTATCCAAATTGGTTTTCTGATTCATCTTTATTATGTTATTAGGACTTTAATGTTCTCAAAAAGGTTGTAAATTTTTCGTTTTGAAGTCTGAACTGGTGTTTTCTCACATTTAGATTCTTGATTACGTTTCCAGTTTTTATATTGTAATGCTAATTTCCTTCCTCAGTTTGAGTATATTCGTGATAAGTTCTAAAATGCTCCCATCAGTTACTTTAATTTTCAAGATGACAAGAATGATTTTTATTTAACCTCAGATCGTATTCAGGGGTTCGTTTAATTAGACAAGTAATAAATGTAAAATGATTCAGTACTAAAGTCCAGATTCATGTATCCACCCATTCTCTTGTGTAATGTATTGAAGAAGTACTTTATTATACTTCAAAGGAGCTTTATATTTCATCAGTTGTGAAATAATGGGTTCGTTTCGAATTCAAGTTAGGATTTAGGCCTCTATTTGTTGACCAAAACTTTTGTTTTAAAGACTTCTCCACTGGAAGTATTACTTTTGTATTTGATTCATATTGCCTTTTTGGCATTTTCAACTCATAAGTATGTAAGTCATTGGTATATTATACACTTCCACGTTCATCAAGTACGCAAACTTGTATATAGTCCCTGCACTAGCACATAGATTCCTCAGGGTCGGTTATTCTTCAAATCAGCTGTTAGTGCTATCTCCGTGTAATTTACAAGTGCTATGGTATATTGAGTATGCCTGGTTTCCCAATATTTGGGGCTTGTAGGAACTTTCACATAATTAACTAGTTTTTCTTATTTTGGACAAGTTATCTCCCCGCTAACCAAACGTTTATTTCACAGAAGTGATCTATCTTTTACCCTACCAATATGAAAGATTGAAGTGGATAAAATATATAAATCACAAGTATTCGATTATAAGTATATCCGAAACGCCGTATGCAACACAGTAAGCAATGTTCGGACTAGTTCTGTATATGGGAATCATTCAACTATTGGGATAAGACATGGGTTTTACAGATTTAGCTGCAGCGTACCATTTAACTGGCTTTGCAGTCTGTCGAAATACCCTGGTGCGGCCGAGAGTCGGGAAAGCCCACTCTCCCTCTCGAAATACTCTCACATAATCACGCATATACAGCCACTGACAGGGTAGTCCTACTCATTGCCTTCTCGCAGCAGAGGCGTCGTTTGCGAAATTGAGAGGACGAAAAGCGAATGTTTGGAGCTTTAACCTGGTTGGTGGATATGGAGGTTCCACCTAAGGGAGTTGGAAAACCCTAATTCCCAAACAATGGTGCACATGAGTTCCAGGATCCTGACCTGAACGAAAGACGTATGAACCTATTGTTAGTCACCTGCTACCATGGTACCGCATCTCGTAACGTTGCTCCACTGCCTTGTGGATTAGACATTTAGGTCAAAGACTCGGAGTGTGGCCCCCTAAGAAAACCACCTGCTTCGGTCTGGGCACCCGGGGAGTATCACGGCCCACACACAAATCGAATGGTTTATGTGGCGCATATGTATTTGGTGACTCCTTGTACCAGTGTTTGTGTTTGAACAAATAAATAACTAAAGGTTGTTGACTGCTAGTGTGAGCCGCGTATGGAGGTCTTATAGATCTCCCTATTGTACAAGTTATCTATATTTCGCGGTTAAGGGGTAGGTAAATTCATTTGAAGCTTGTCTCATTGAAATAAATGTATTTATTCTTTGTCTTGTTCTTTATGTCGATCATTTTACTTCCGTATTCTATTTCTCGTTTTCCTAAGAATAGTGGTTCTATTATCCCCTATTACTAGTATAAGAAGTTTGTTGTGTATTACACATTATGAAAATTAAAGCAAATATTTGCTTTTGGCTGGGCTGTTGATGTATATATTTGTTACAGTGAACTGAAAACTACCTAAAACAACTTACTGGAACCTAAATTATCCGACTGTTTTCCTTTGCTCGTGATCGTAACCCCAATAAACTGGATATTTCCAACTGCAGTTTACTGAAGTCTATTTTAAGGTTCATCGAACGTTTGTATAATAAACTTTCGTAATATAAAATAATACGATGCAAATTTAACAAATAATTGACAATAACACAAGTAAACATGTACTGATATCTGTGTTTGTCGATGACTTCTATGTATATACCTGTACTATCATCTGTTCGTATATGAGATGCTAGCGTCAAAAATCGGTTTACTGATCATCTTCAGTCTTTAGTTCCACATCAACATGCTATTCTAGATAAATTGAGGGGAGGTAGAACTAAGAAGACTTGTGGATTGGGCTGACTAACTATAAAGGTTGGTATAGTTACTTGTTAGTAACTATTACTCAACAAATTTACTGAAACTAAAACCTTAATTGAGAAGTTTTTCATTTTGGTGTATTGAATGCTCTTGTCATTTACAATTGGGAAGTCTAAGTTTATCTGCTTCACCTCATTCTCAAGTACTTCATTTGTGACTTACATCACTGTAACTTCCTCTTTCTAAAAATGTCATGGTTGCCGACACTTTTTTGGTAGTTCATAATCTAGAAGTGACTATATGATTATGTATGTTTACTTCACTATCTTGTGTTGTTTTGTATTTGATTGCAAAAAACAGTGTTAATATACATTTTGTTGACCAAGGATAGTAACAAATCAGGATATTCACATATATTTTTTGGTTTCGTGCCTCCTTACAACTACCCTTGTAGTACTATCGTTTTTTTTAAATTTTCTTTCCATAGCTGGTTCAAAATCCTACTTTACCATGGTTTGCAGTCACTGGTGATTATTGTCCATCCTCTTCTACTCAATCTGCTCAAACCCAACATTTCGCACAAGTTTTTGGATTGTCTGTGCCAATCAGAAGAGTACTGAGTCCCAAACAGTCACTAACCCACTCTCATTTTGCATTATTTCCAACTTGTCAAAGTGTTGACACTCAAAGTCGTCATCAATTGAGCTCTGGAGATCACTGTTCAAATATCATTACACCTGTAATCGTCACTATGCCTCGTCACTCACGTTCAAATGGAAACCAGGATATAGATCTACCAGTTTTCACAGAACCACTTGGTCCAATTGCAACTGGATGTAAACGTGATGCTTCTGCACTGTCAGCAAATTGTACTATCCCCCCTATTACGACAACAGCTAACATCCCATTGGATACTAACGATCAGTGCACTATTTATCTCCCACCAAAACCTAAAGAATCGGTGAGTTTGTTTTCATTATCAACTAGAAAAAAAGTTTGCGGTTTTTGTTGTATAGATTAATGTAGGAAGTTATCACCGTCGACACACTTTTCTACTTAGATAGTTTTTATTATCATTTTCCATCCCTTATTTAGCTGGTGTGTGTGAACTTATTAAAAATATACGTAGTTGAATATTATACTCTCGATCGCTTCTGAGTGTATTTGCTCTCTCGTGTTGACGATGGGTTTTTTAATCTTTTTAGATTAACCAGTTTACGTGTTGACTGTTAGATATTAATACACTGGATTATCGAGAACTGATATTTACGGATATATTTCTAGATAATCATGCCAAAAACTTCACTTTATGGTTTAATTATAATCGTGAAATCCTTAGAAAAGAAATCCCATCTTTATTTGTTCATGTTCATTTATTTATAAAGTTTCCGGAATCTCCGTGTGAAATCAGTATTCATAGTTTTCAATTTTCATGTGTTTGTAACTGAAATTTATTGACAAATTAGGATTACTAAGTGAATTATTAACATTATCAATATGAACTACACCTCATTCATTTGATTATTATTTACATCTATTATAAGCTTAACTGTTTATATGAATCAAGAACATTTATCCGATTCTCTGATTGCTACCCCGTAATTCTCTTATCCAACCTTTTGTTCAGGTCAGGATCCTGGAACTCATGTGCACCATTGTTTGGGAATTAGGGTTTTCCAACTCCCTTAGGTGGAACCTCCATATCCACCAACCAGGTTAAAGCTCCAAACATTCGCTTTTCGTCCTCTCAATTTCGCAAACGACGCCTCTGCTGCGAGAAGGCAATGAGTAGGACTACCCTGTCAGTGGCTGTATATGCGTGATTATGTGAGAGTATTTCGAGAGGGAGAGCGAAATTTCCCAACCCTTCACCGTACCAGCACATTTCGACAGATTGCAAGGGCAATCGTCGTAATTATTCCATATAACATCTGTTATAACGTCTTACTTCGTATGTATCACAGATACATGTTGGTTTTGCTTTGAAAGATAAGTCATTTTTCTCAAAAATAATCTGTTAACCTTAGACGGGATTTTCTAGCTTTATACAAAGTTTTCATACTGTTTCTGTTGATTATGTTTTGTTACGTTGTGTCAGGCTTACTTTACTGTGTTATCATATCTACATGTTTCTTTTTCACGTAGTCTCTATAAATGACTTCATATCCTTACCATTTTAATATTTCTGATCATTGTCTATTGAGTATTTCACTTTGTTATCAGAATATATGTTTTGGATGTCATTCTTTTCATTTGCCCAATCTTGTATTTTTTGTCAGGAGAGAATGATGCATATTCAACGGTGGGTGAATCATCTTCCTTGGAATCTAAATAATGTGTGCGATGCCTCTGGTCGGTCTCATGTACCCTATCCCATTCCTGTTCGTTCTCACATAGACGATGATCGTGAATTAACTCCCCCTCCTGGTCGAACTTACTTAACTAGATTACCATTTACACCCGAAGAACAACAAGCCATGGTCCGATTCTTTCCTTCCCATACAAGTCAGTTTCGGCACCAGCATCAGGCACACGCTATTCCGGATCCCCAACCTAGGTATCATACCTTCCCGAATCATTGTCCGAATCAACAAACATCCAATAATCATCAATTTTCTTCATCCCAGAGACCTAGTCAAGAAGCCTGTAATGTCTTTCCTTCCGTTAGAAATATTCCTGAGTATGTCAATGAGAATAACCGAAAACGTGGACAAGAAGATATCGGAGGTAGTCGGTTATTTGCAGATTGGGAGACCAGACTAATTAGCCGACTTTTTAAAGAGTTCTTCCATGGAAATCCTAAACCTAATGGTGTATGCGGTACACTGCCTTCTCTTAGTGAAGTTCGATCTCGTATAGCTTCTTCACGATTGAAAGAAACAAGAACAGCTACAGCTGTCAGATCCAAAATTCGTCGAATGCAATCATCCGGTACATGGTTAAAGTATCAATGATAACTGTATTTTCCACTGTCTAAAACCCTTTTAATAGTCCTTTTGTATTAAGTGAGTAATTGTGCTCAATTGTTAAAAGCCTGTAGACAATAATAAAAAACAAATAGCGCTCAAATAATATATATACATGGTTTCAAACCGGAATTTCTCTCATTCTACGTCATTGTTCTAGTTTTCCAGTCAATCTTTATAGTTCATATTTCAACCGTATCATTCCAGAATACATATGTATGTATGTCCGATCCTTTTACTGTAACCTTACTGTTTGCAGAAATATAAATCTACTAATCACGTACAATATATTTATATATAAAATATGTATGTATGCAAAAGCAATTTACTTGATGACAACATATGCTGTTTATAGCCCCCGTGTTCTTTCTGACCTTCAATATACCAATGTTTGAAACTTATCCTGCCCTATTTAATACTTTATGTACTCTCATATTTATTTCTGTCTTCTTTCTCATTCGTTTATTTGTGGTACTTCGTACAGTATTATCATTTTATATACATTCATATATTATCACCATTATCAGCGTTTTGTTTCCAAGTTTTCTTTATCTCTATAATTTGTCTCTTATATCATGTGTTATTAGATATCAATTGTGCATATCAACTCTTCTTGTTTGTTTGTTTCCGTTTCTTGTATGTTAATTTGTTTCTGGAAGGTTATTACCACTTATCTTGGGTTTTTTTTTCATTCTGTGTATACGAGAAACAAGAAATCAATGTAATAAACCTTGTCTTCATTCTGTTTTATAACAAGGGTAGCCTGGTTTTCTAATTTATTGGTTAATAATACTAATAATAACGATCTCTTAAATAAAATTTCTCGTAGAAGCTGTTCAATTATTTCAACTGATATCTATTATAAATGTATCATAGAATTTAGATTTGTTTAATGTACATGTGTTTCAAGTTAATTCGAAAAATAATAACTCATTCTTTATCTACATTCGATACGTTTTCTCTGTGAGTAATCTAAAGTGCATAGTGATAAGAATGTTATATGATGATCAGTAATTTTTCAAGACCTGTTAATTCTTATTTCTGTTTTCCATAAAATAATTGTGTACAGTTTTTTAAACTGACAAAAGGTTAGTGAACAGCGAACAGATATATGTATGGAGTAATTTTTTTCGAGATCCAATGGCTTGATATTGATAAGTAGCATAGTAGTTCAACGCGGCCTTAGAATGAAAATCTACACAATTTTAACTGAAAGTAATTAGCTCTACAGCTTTAGTTCTTGTTATGATGAAGTAGACGATTGTTTTTTAAAAAAATGCCTTCTTTAGTCTTGTACAAATAGGTCGACAAGTGTATGAAGCATTTTCAACTTTTCTTCGAAGTTCACTACCGTAGATTGCAACATGCTAGCCAAGTGTGCCTTCGCTCCATAGACTTTCATACTGGATAAGTGCAATATACAGAATATCTTAAATAAGGTGACGTCTTATTAACGTTGATTTTATCTACATACTAGAAACTAGGTAGGAGATTCCAAAACAGATCACTTCCTGGAACTCAGAATTTCGAGGAAACACTCGACAAAGTCAAATAATGATAATGAATATTCCGGATGAAATTCATACGTATTAATTCTTTCTTATACTATATCCTTATCTTTTAAATATTATCATCATTGAATTAACTACTTCTATGAATCCGGTGTTTATCTTGCTGTGCTAATGCTATATGGAACCTTGAACCGATGCATATATGTGCCTGATCCTACGTTGTAGCTGACTGACTTGAATGAATACCATTTGTTCTTTTGAATTTCTCTTCATCGGAAGACGATATTACAAAGTCTATTTCTGAATTAAAATGCAACTTTTAAACTGCAGAAAGTCTTGGCAGATATTTTTGAGTGTACAGTCCATTGCAAATCTAACTAATAGGGTTATAATCTTTTCCATGTATTTCTATCGAGCCAAAATTGGATATCGGAATAATATGCTTAAAAACGTTTGTTAGTAAAGAATGTTTGTCCCCTTTTCTAATTTTTCTTACAAATAAAAACGACCAAAACAAAGCTGTTAGAGTAACCGAGCTTAAATTTTATTTCCTAATCATCGTATCAACATATCACTGGTTACCTTGTCTGAAAAAGTTTCTATACAGCTTGTCCGTAGGTTCTGTTCGTTTCCAACACTACTTACCATTATTTTCAACTTGAATATTCATCAAGAGATTTGAGAGAGCTATAGTTATAAGAATTCTATTCACTCTCTTTTATTTAGACAGTTAGTCGTTTATTTTCAAACTGGTTTTAGGAATGCCGGTTGTTTACAGGAATCAACTATTATTTGTTATATTTGATCATATTTTTTGGAGGGTTTTACTCCCACTGTATATCCAATCACCATGATAATGTAAAAACAATGTAGATATTTTTTCTGAATTCAGAAAATGTTAAACGCTTATTTTTAAGAAATATTTGTACTTGAAATTGTTTTGCAGAGACCTTGTGTATTTTTTGGATAAATACTCTCAACACTAATCATATATTTATTGGCGTAGAATGTTTGATGTACTTTATAGTTTACATCGCCAACTGGCCATAGTTAGACAGCAATTGTTAATCGTATTTACACTAATGACTACTTTTGATATGAATTCTACAAGGTTCTAGTAAGAAATAATTTGTAGAGCTAATTAAGTCAAAAACGAGCGAGCTATTTACCGAAAACAATGAATGAAGATTATACTATGTCAAAAAATTGGTTGCAGTTCAAAATTCGAACTAATGACCCGAGACTATGTGACCTTGTGTTGGCTAAACTATATGTCGTAGGTTCGATTTTAAGTGTGTTTATGAATACGCACTACTGAATAGTTTAAAACCAGGATAAAGTGGCTATCCAGCGCCCTTTGTCATTCAGCCCGGCACATGCCTAAGCCAAATCAACAAAACGAAATGAAATAAGCAAGATGAATAGCAAGCGATACGAAATAATAGTAATAGCACTGACCGTGAGCACAATTATCCACTAAAGTATGGTTCGAGAAGAAAAGTACGTATAGATGAACATTAGGATCGAAGATCTAGAGGAAGAGTATGTGCATCTACGTGATCACTAGTTCCAGGCAATGTCGACCTCTGGTCACAATAGTTGTGCGGACCCTAACCAGTTAGTCTGCATCGACGAACGTAGCTCCCACGAATATCCAATGACTCCATAAAATGATATCTTGTTTTAGAGCCCCTAGTTCCCTTCCAAAGTACTCCTACACCAGTAAACAACGCCTGTTGAGGTAGACCGTGATTAAGCATATATCCTAACAACCTCAAGTCGATGAAGATACAGTATCTCATCAACTAAAAATTTATGCTAAGTATCGCATGCTTAATCTCAGCATTGACCACTCAGTCGTTTCACGATACGATAGCAGTGTTTAGAAGACACCTACGATCAGAGTCCAAGTTCGTAAGAAGGAAATATATTCCACAAGCAGCCAGAAGCATGAAAAAAAACGCAAATCAAGCGTATATATACAGGATAAAAAACGGTACAAAATAGCATACTAAAAGAGATAACGAACCAATAGCATTAAAGTCCCTTCAAAGTGGAAAATAAAATATGAAAGTGAAAATGAGCGCTTTTAGCACGAAAACAAAAAAATTCAAATTTCTAAAACAGAATAACAAAAACAAAGCATTTACCAAGCGAGTTCTGAGGATTTAACATCCCCAACACATGAAAATCCAGATAAGGGGAGCATAGTGTCTCAAAAGGACATCTAAGATGACGTTAAGTAAAAAAAACTAGTATAGTGAACAAACTTTGCTTTAAATGTACGATTCTAATACCAATCGTAATCTATAACTCAATTTACAGTATTCAATTAGAGATTATATCAGTTTGTAACTCATATATATCTAATTTTCTCAATGATTTTACAATTTATGATTAGAAAAAAAAGCAAACAACAGGCTGGTTTTACTGAATATATTTCTCTATGGATTCTTCTCTTTTCATTTTCATCTTATCTAATGTATCTATGATTGGTTTATTTGATTTTTATTTAATAAATGATCAATATTGTTTTATTAGAGATCAGTGAAACATATTTTGTATAATACTTATCATCATTTTTTTGTCTGTTTAACTTTTAATTGTTTTGTTTTGATCTCTTAAAAGAGCTAATCATATAAATTACATTTTTAAATGAATTTAAGTCAATTTCATTATAAAGAAGTTATCAGCATAGGTTTGAGAAAAGTTATGAAATGTACAGTCTAGTGAACAGTAAAAATTATATGAGAGAAGGCCACATACACACTGCTATTAGAGGTGTAAGGGCGGTTATCACTTCCCAGTTGCCCACATTGTGGAAGAGTTCTGAAGGTACTAGAAAAAGAAATTGGATTAAAGGTGGTCATAGTGACCTGTGAGAGTGACTGTAGTGCCAAAAGGACAACTGCTTAAGGTCGGTCACACACGACCTTTTTGTGGGTAATTTTCGTGTTAGCTCCGTACTTGTTAAGACCTTACCGCCGGAGACGGATATCTGTGGGATAAGGCAAGGTGTGCATTTTTAGGGTCGACCTTTTCTAACCCCAGCATCGCTGTTATGCTGGTTGTTTGAAGGAAACACTTTACTGGCGTCACACCTCTGTACAGTCAGCAGTACGACTTCACCCTCAGACCTTGGGTTTGCTGCTTATAGTCTTGCCGCTCTTTGAACGATCTGTCTGGCAGGGTAGGACCCTGAAGAACGGTTGTTCCAGCCAGTATAGCTCGGTTGGTTCATCACAACAGGCAAGACTGACCACCACATCAAGGTAGAAACGGCCGGGATATGCACACGCACACACTCCATCCTATACGACGTTCGACTAGATTCATCAATATGATAATCTTCACCTTTTGTAATTAATCAAAATTATGAAAGTTAGTGAAAAGATATGATTTGAATGTTTTTCACAATCTAAGACTCATCAATTGAGTAGTCCTATACTAGGATGAAACGACCGTCCAATGCTTCCAGGCTATTAATGGTG